CACACACACACACACACACACACACACTCACACAAACACTCACACACACACACACACACACACACACACACACTCATACACACGCACGTGTGTCCATAAACAGATTTAAAAATACATACAAACATACCCCCAAGAACACGCGTACACATACATACATGCATACGCATAATAAACGCTTTAGGACATTGGAAAATACAGATTCATACAAACACGCAAAAGTTCACAGGTACACATATAAACCCGAACACAGTATGTACTCACAAATGATTCTTTCTGTGATGTGGACGACATCCAAGGACAGCCCTTGTTCTAGCTGGGCTTGTTCCTGGCTCCTGAAAATGGAAGTCGAAAAAGCAACAATCAGCTTCGCTCTGGAGGTTTTCTGGTTAGATGGTTATCGAGATCGATCCCAATATGGGAATACAATCCCTCAGACCAATTGTAATCATCTTTAACTTTCCTGCCTTTTTATTTTGGTTTAGATTATATACATGTACCAATCGGACTGGTGCTTGTGCATCATATCTGGCCTGTCACAAATGATGCACGAGCCTGCTTAAAAATCACTCAAAACAGTCCCCAATATCGACTGACAATACTATTTTCCTATTTTCCTATTTTCCTGATATTCAAAAACGTAATCAGTTGTAGACAACCCTAAAATGGATTTGCTTGAATTGAAATAACACGTTTTTTTCTATCGGAAAGAGGAAAGGGGTGTGGTCTTTGAAGTAAATATTTACTTTTTGTGTTTACACGTAAATAGTAGGGAACGTATAACGTTCAGTTCTTTAAAGATGGCTAAAAGGAAATAAAGTAAGGTAATTGCAAACAAAGTATATCTTAATATTCATACATGGGTAAAAGCCCAGTGAACCAGTGGGACTCCTTCCCAGCCACCCAGGAAGCTAAATGTTTAAAAAATGTATTTTTACGACCCCGTCGACACAATTTATATCATTTGGATCATTTATGAAACATGATTCAACCCTGCCTGTCAGGGCCAACACAGACTGAGAGGGATACCACATCCTAGCAAAAAGACCGAGATACTCAATTAAAAATTCCCCCCCCCCCCCC